AGTTTCCTCGTAAAAATATTTTTTACTTAAGAGGTTACATCTTTTTTCTATATGCAAAATTATAGTTTATATATACATCTTGTTATATGTTATTTCCTTAGTAATTTCTGAAACCTTCTTAACAGCTCCAAGGTTTGTGTCTTCTTAAGTAGCAATTGGTACCTGCGAAATTTCATTCAATTCGTAAAATGAAAGATTCATTAGGCAGACGCGTTATCAGCTTACGCGGGCAGAATTTTCAGTGCCTCTTCGTTCATCGATCTCTCGAACGGTGAACAGAAAACATCGAACAGTGTGCATTTCTCTTTTCGCTAATGAACCGTTCTCATTTTTACGCGACAGGACTCGCGTCGCGTGTCTCACAGAGAAAGCCTCTCACGGACGCGGAATGTTTCCTTTTTACCGTTAAACAGCACAAGCCCAATTGATAAATATTCATACGGCGACGCACGCGTGTGTGTGTGTGTGTACGTGCATGCATCTTCGCGGTTTCGTTCACGAAAAGTGGGACAAGCGTAATAATTAAGCGTCAATTTCAAGCTCCACGTCTCTCATTAAACGCCTAACAGTACCCATCTTCCCCCTCGATCGTTCGAACTCACACGGGTTAAAATTAGGGATAAAATCTGGTCGTTTTGTCGAATTCCTCGGTCGACTATCCGCCCACAACGATACATATTAATTTCATCGTCGTATTAAGAATTCGAACGTTACCAAAAAAGGTACACACACGGTCCATCGGAGACGAAGCTTAATTAATCACACGAAAGTGAAGAATCTCTGTTGTCTGTTGGATAGCCAAGAATTTCATAAGATTACTTCTAATCCTGACACGAATTACCGACGCGTGGGACGTTCCTCTTCTTCCTCGAAAAAAAATGGTAAATGGTACAACTGAACAGGACGAAAGATGTGCCGTGTCGCACCCAAAGCACTTTCTCGGCGCCGTCTGAACACGCGAGAAGAGTAGGCTTCCATAAACTGAAACTCCCGTGGGCGAGACGCGATCGAGCAGAAATCCCTGGAACTGTATGGGCGCTATTCGGTTATCGAGGATCATTATACTTGATAGTGTGGCATGTAGAGCGCATGATAATTAAGTCGACTCGGTTAAGTCATCGACAGAATGTCTCCTGACACGTTTGACTGGCATCGAAATCGCGAGTGATTCAATTGTTGTTGGATAAATATGGAGGGAAATCTGGACTCGACATATGTATTTTCGAGTGTCCTTGGTTCGAGCCTCGGGGGGTTCTTCGTAGATTCTTGTATAAATTAGTGATTAATAAAAGTGGAGATAGTATTACCGAAGAAATTTTTGAATAAAGTACAAGTAACGGAATACAATCGGAAGTGGGTCATGGAAAATGACTTTGGTGAATTTTGCATTGACCCGCCAGTTCTTCTTCGAAGTTTTGCAACCGTGCGCGTGGGAGTTTCGCGTTATTGGCACGGCGCGAGATGTGTGTGCACGGTGTGTAATGCGTCGTTGCCATCGACTAATTCATAGGTTTTGTCATCGGTTTCCTTCTGTCTCTGCCTACCGGATGATATCATTGACACCGTAACACATTTCTCGGTGATACCCTTACCCAGCGGCTCGCAGCAATGTTGCACGGGCAGCTTCGAGGCGTAATTCCCGAAGCCCAGGCTGTTTGCATAAAATGAACGAGCATTGTAATGGCCGCCATCATGGGTGGTAATACTTGGTTGCAGACTGAGATCTTTAGAATCACACACACACGCAATAGAATCACTTTGTAGAGATCTTCAGTCATGAAGATTCTCCTACCTGTATTATCAAATCTCTTTGTTTACAGTTTGAATTTCATAATGAAATTCTAATCGCTCAGAAATATTCATTACATTTACCTTTATATGCTGCTGTTTCGCAGTATTGTACATACTCGCTGTGTTTATTATTGGAAGATTTAGAATTCATAGGTTTAGAGTAACGTACCTATGTGTAACCCACGACGAGGATGAGGTACTAATGGCACAAGTGGTGATAAATATACAGGAAAAAATAAGAGTTGTCCAGTGTGGGTTAATGAAGTTCAATGTATTCGATACATATATCAAGGGCTAAGGTGATCACCTGCCCACCAGAAATGATGTATATGTACTTATATCTGATTACCTGAAAATCCACAATCGTAGGAATAGTTCTTCGGTATGTCACGTTCGCGTCAATTTGCAAAATAATATTATACGCTTGCTGTACCCGTTCCGCGACACAATAATTGTGTTATTGAAATTTCAATAGTGTGTATTTCTCTTACAATGGGTTCCCGACAAGATAGTCGATTGGACGATAACGGATGGAATTCCAGAATCGCTCGCTCAAAATTCACCACCAGCCGCCGCGCCGTGTGCGTCGTTTGGGACCGCTTCCGCGAGCGTGTTTCGCATGGAAGTTTTGCGGAAACCGGACGATATGTATCCGACGCATCTGAAATTGGTGGTCGGGGTGGGACCCCGAGCGAGGCGAGGGGTGGCCAATTTCCGTGACGAAAATTCCGTTTCCAAGGACAAACAACCGACTGACTGACTGGTCTAGCCGGATCGACCAGCTGTCTAGGCTCTTGGTGTAGTTGGTCGAGGAGTTAAGGGGGTACAAGCAGGCAACTGGTGGTCGGTGCAAGCTGTCGGCTGAAGGGGCAGGAGGGCCACAGGTGCATCGTACTCGCACGCCCTCCTTTATTACGTTCCTCCGCGTCTTCTTTCCCGCTCCGTCCCTCTCTCTCTCTTGCTCTCCCATCGTTTCTGCGCTCGTTAGTGAACGACTGGCTCAACGTGACTGCGCGGTGTATAAATTCCATTAAATCGAACGAATCTTTCGATTTTTCAGTGGAATAATGTTTCGTGCATCTTGAATTTCAATTTCAATTCATGTGTCCTTCATTTTAGCCCTTTTAACTACACGGGTATCATGTTCAAGAAAGGTATAGGTAGGATGAACCAACCAGTAATCGACTGCATAAAAATTGAAAATTATTAAATGTTTATAAATGGAGCGTAGTTGCACTTTTAATATCTCGTATTCTTAGTGTAACGTGTTAAGCAAACTTTACTAAGTACAATTCTTATGAAAAAATATTTTAGAAATGTAACAGTCATTTACTGGGATTTTACACGTTTTGTACTTTATTAATTTAATATTCTTTTAAATCATGACAAGAATAAGTAATCATTTTTATAAAAATTTCAAGAAAAGTAAATGCAATGGCAATTTCAAGAGCTGTTTCGTTGTTATAAATAAATACATTCAAGTATTAATCTGAAACGGCCACAAATTCAGCAATTCAGTCTTTTACTGGTTGGTTTACCTTACATGAACATATGATTTACTTCACCTTTAAAGCCGACAAACAAGTACCCATGCAAGATAAATAAATAACTCTGTAGCGGAACTTCAGACAACAAAACACCTGAATAGAACCGATGGAATCTCGCAAAAGAATCGAAAATCACTCATTGCCGACAGCCCTAGTTAAAGGGTTAAAAATGTTTTAGAACGGTGCAAGGACAGATTTGAGCCTTCAAGTCTATTTTTTGCGTTCCCATCTGTTAATAATTTTTTTTCTCAAAATCAAGGAGATAAATCGAGCTCGAAGTCCTGGTAGCGAGAGAATTGAATGGCAATCGTTACTCCTGGTTTTGCCTCTTTCGTTCGTCCCTTGTCGTTCCGCCACTCTTCACTTTGTTCCATCGTTCTTGTCTCCTTCTAGACTCCCGTGGTTCTCGTTCCCCCTTCAACACTTTTCCCTTTGCAATCTTCTTCCTTTTTCCTTCCTTTCGATCCGCGCTTCGCTCCTCCTCCTCCTACTCCACCGTCGTTTTTCCTGACTCTCCACGTTCCTCCCGCTCGTTTTCCTAATTGTCCTTTTCTTTTTCACATCGACGTTCCGCCGAGCTACACTCGCTCTCATTCGTTCACGATCGTTCCATCCTGCTTGATTCCTTCTCGAGGAATCCTCTTCCACCTTCTCTACTCGCGGGGGTACACAGTCGTTAACATTTCGCCTCGTGGTGGTTGATCACCAGGCCCTAACTTATTCTACGGACGCGTCTCCACTGGTTTTATGCTATACCATACGTCTGTTTGAACGTTCGTAATAAACTGTCTGGCTATGTAAAGACCCCTTCCCGCGAATCGCGTGACACTGGTGTGTCTCTTGAAAATTATGCTTCCGGATCCAGGTGTGGAGGCTCTTGATGGTTCGTCGAAGATCGTGAATGTTCGAGGAAAAAAAGGAGTAGTAGAAAAAATGGAATGAAACGAGTGCAATATCTGTTCTACTCCTCTTAACTCCACCGCATCGGCTTTGTGTGACATATTCTTCTCGCTTACACCGGCCGAGAGAAGCTTCTTGAGTTTCAAAACACCATGTAACCAGGAAATTGGGTTTTTAGGTCCCAGGGCCCAAGGTAAGCCGATACAGTTAGGTAGGTTCGAGGTGTTGGTTCGTGAAGGGTTCGCGAATACCCCCAGCGCGGCACCGTCCAGTCGTCACAGGTGCCTCTCTGCAACGGTTCACATGATTTTACGGGGGGCAAACACGAGGAGCAGAGCTCCTGTTTCTTACTACGATCCACGGATTCGCCGGGTGGGAGTATTCACGGGGATTCATGCCACAGAGAAGTCCGTTTTCTTCTTTAGAACAGGTCGAGGGTTTTTTTTTCTTCTTCAGTGGACGTTGGTCGTGCACGAGCGATTCCAAAAATTTTATTACGCCGCGCGACTGTTTGCTGAGCTCGCGAAGAGCGATCAGTCGAGCGAGACACGGCTTCACGGAAGAGGATCATGTAATTGGACGAGCGTAATTCAGGAAATCGTCGAAAAAAGAAGACGACGGGTGTGTGTATGTGTTTGCGTTGTAAAGATAATCGGAATTTCAACCGTGTACATTTCGGGGCTTCGTCGAATCGACGAAATTGTTCTATGTTTTATGACGTGTGGGAGATTGTGTAATCGATCTTTGTTTGTTGCAGCCAAGATGAAACATCTATGGCCGTTGGTGGTGTGGATACTTCTATACTTGTGTCCAGTAAGTACTCGATAACTGTTCACACAGTTTAATACACGCTGTTTGCACAGTTACCAGCAAAATATGATTTTGATACGCTTTATTTTTTAATCACACCCCGCCAGGCCGAATCACTCAGAGGACTCGGCCGCGGACCCAGGCGAGAAGTGTTCTTCCTGAACCTCGAGGATGGCTACTTCGGCTGCCAGGTGAACGAGTCGACGGACGTTCTGCAGCTCCTAGAGCTGTCCAAACTGTGCGACCACAATGTCGACTGTTACCAGGGCACGGACGAGCAACGTGACAGACTGAAGTGCACAGGTGAGTCGCGCAAGGATGCACCAGAAAAAGGCAACGACGTAGGAACAGAACGCATCCTCCTGTGACCGGGTCGCACGGCGGACGGAAAAAATTGTTTCCCCTGTTTATTGTCGTGTTCCTTGGTCCCGTTAACCGTTACCAACCTCTTGACCAGTTCATATACAGAGTGGTCCACCGGATGATAAATATCATCTCCTTCGGTTCTGATTATATAAAAAGTATGTTGTATGCAATTCAAATAGTGTCAAAGGACGAATACGTTGCAGAAGAATATTTTCTGCAATGGTAATTTTTTTCATATATATTTTTCTTTACGCCATTCCGTTGTTCCCGGTGTCGTTACGCCCCTCAAACGGATCAACTTCGAGAGCCGCGTGAAATCGTGGACGGTATAGTAGTACCTACATCATCGACGCGTAACCGTGGTCTCTCGTCACACGTATCGATTATACCAACGGCGTCGTCGTCGACGCGTGTCCCTGCGGCTGGATTGATCGACGACATTGATTTTCATTCGGTTTCCGTAATCGACCTTCCCCGCTCGGTGCTGTTACGTAATCCCTCGGAAACGAATTACTCATCGTAATATCGAACAGAGTTTTATTCCATCGGTAGTCGCTTGTCGATGACTAAGGGGTATTGTATTCTCGATCGTTTACCCACGACGAGGCATTGTGATTGTTTCTTCTCCTTTGTTTTCGTCACGATTAGATGACTGCACGAAAGAGGACGGGACCAGGTGCCTGAACGGCGTGTGCTTGGATTCGGTTTGTCACTGCAACGACGGTTTCGGTGGTTGCAATTGCCAGGTGCCAGGTTGGTATATCTATTCTTGTTAGAATGAGGATGGGTCTAACCCTAGAACTACTAAATCCATCAAAATGATGGATTACAGATTTACTATTTTACCATTACTTAAATTACAATGGTGCTTTTGATGGGATTTATGTTGGTTTTTAAACGTACATTCTGTATACTATTAGATTATACAATTTGATTTAGTATACATTCAATGCTGGTAGTTCTAGTGTTAATCCACGGAGAAGGAAGTCACGAGTTTGTAATTCGCGTAAATTAACCGAGGCGTGAAGACGGGTGCGTGTAATGGACGCCAGATACAAGAGAAATAACGACCGAACAAACAAGAGTATATTCTCTTGATCCCCTCCTTCTTTGACTTTACATTACTCTGATCCTGTAGCCGAATCAGAGGATTTCTCGTGTTACCCAACTGCCCCGTCCATTTTTATCTCTCTTTATCTCTTTATCTCTTTATCGATGATTTCTTCTTGAAGGAGCATTAAACCCAGACATAACCCGGCACCGTTTCACGCCTCGTGTCCATCTCTACCCAAATCGACTATAATCATCGGTTAACGCGAATGTTATAATAACGTTTTAGACGAGAACGAGTGCAAGTACCGACCCTGTGATATATTCGCGCATTGCACGAATACCCTCGGTAGCTTTCAATGTTCCTGTTTCCCTGGCTACCAAGGCGACGGTTTCCATTGCGAAGGTATGCGACGATTCCTTTTTCTTCACGGTTTATTTGGTCCAAGCCTGTTCCTCCTCCCCCTCTTCTTCTTCTTCTTCTGCTTGTTCTTTTTCTTCTTCTTGTCTGTCACCCGGTCCCCTACACACACGCGATTTCCGCAGATATCAACGAGTGCGATAACCCGATCCTCGCCGCGAGATGCGTGGAGAACGCCGAGTGCTGCAACCTGCCCTCGAACTTCCTATGCAAATGCAAATCGGGATACATTGGCAACGGGGAGGTACACTGCGAGGACGTGAACGAGTGCGCTATTCCTGGCGCTTGCGCGGAGAACACGGTCTGTCGGAATACACCTGGAAACTATACCTGCGCGTGCCAAGATGGCTTCAAGGGAGACCCATACGACAGTGTGAGTAGAATTATCGTCCGAATGTACGCTGCTCGAAACAATTAAAGCAGAGGCGCGACGAACTACATATGGCGGGGCAAATGTGACCCATTCTATTCATACAGTTACTTTTCTACTCAGAAATGCCGTAGGAGTACTGTCCCGTTCTTCAGAAGTAAATATCCTTCATAAGTGCTCGTTCTTCCCTAGTCCTGAGAGCTCTGGACGGTATTACCAGGGAAAACTTGAGATTTTTCCAATGGTGTTACCGACATAAACTGGAAGGAAATATATGAGATTAATATGGAATAAAATTTTCAAAGAAACCCACGCAAAAACACTGCACCCACACGAGCAAACTCAACAATCCTCTACGGGAAAAAGTGACGTAGGGATAAGAGCCTCCTTTTACTTGGTAAATCAATTTTAAATACTGAAATAAATGTTAAATCGAATATCAATTTGGCATAAATTTCAGTAATTCCCGATACCAAGAGGTAGGAGGCCATTATCTCTCTACCACATTTTCCCTTGGCGACAGCCGAGTTTGCACGTCAGTGTAGATAAGTAGAAAATTGAGAAAGTCTTGATAAATGTTCGCGAAGCAGCCCCAGGTTAAATACCCGCGCGTCATCCCTGTTACAAGCACTAGGCGGCTTCTCCTTGGAACCAGTCAAGCGAGAGTAATGTAATACGCCCCAGCGGCTTCGTTTTCAAAGATATCAATTTAGCAAACCTCTGTAGCGCTTGTTTTGTTTACCTTGCATAGTTAATGCAACAAGACCGTCCGCAGTAGCGATTCCCTAATTCTTTCTAGCAGATATAATTTAGTTTCTCAGGAGCTGGTTGTGATCGATTACGATTTTGTGACTCTCAGTGTATCGACATAAACGAATGCGATTACGCGGGTGCCTGCGGAAGGGGTGCTCTATGCGTGAATTTACCCGGTGGCCATAAGTGTGAGTGCCCGGAGGGCTATAACGGCAATCCCGAGGAAGAATGCGTGGACATAGACGAGTGCCTGCGCAGCCCTTGCGGCCGTTCAGCTCACTGCACAAATGTGCACGGCGGTTTCCGTTGCGCTTGCCCGGAAGGAATGAGCGGCGATCCTTGGATAGGTTGTCACGGTGAGTAAGAAAATGACTAATTGTCCGAAACGATACATGGTAGACGACCATACGCGCGCGCAATTTTGTTAGGTCGTCTGGAAAATTCGTGCAGTTTTTCGGTCCCAGTGTATTTTTCGTACCAATATTATTAAAGGTAATGGAAGATCGGTTCATACGGTGAAGATTATATGTATGTATGTATACTGCCGTCGAGCACACATTTCGTATACACTCCTGTGCATAAGCATTAGGATACTTATCGAACATGCAAGTACATATGTTACAAGCAGAAGTAAGAAGCTGTACAGGGAAGTGGAGACTGCATTCGTTTGTATAAAACAAGACAAAAATTGCAATTTTACGTTTTGAAACGGTACGTTACTTTCCGTATGACCTGATACAAACCCGATGTACGAAATACCTCTCTTACCTGTGTGTAGTATTCGTAAGACGGTAAGTTAAGCATGAAGAAGAATTCATTACGCGGAATCGTTTGAATTCCCAGACCCGAATCGCTTATCGAATAACAGTGTCCACGCTTCGTTAATAATATCTGTTCGTGTTAACAATCAAAAGCACGCGCACAATTATTGCGTACGGTAACCGGGAAACGCGTTCCGGCGTGACAGGAGCGCCTCTGGGATAACACACGATTAACGAGAAGGCGATTGATCGAGATACAGTGTTTGTACTCGAAATTCGTCTTGCCAATCAAGTTCACCTTTTTGCAAATGAAATTCATACTTTCTCAAATGAAATTTGATCTTTTGTAATTTCTGAAATAAAAAGTAATGAAAGAACATGTTAAAAAATGCACTTACAACTAAAATTTCCAACCACAGCTTACCAAAATTATCCGCCCAACAATCAATGATCCAGTTATCTTTCTGGTAATTTGAGTAACAAGAAACGCTTAGATATGAGTTTATAGTTTCTCGTTTGTTAACACACAAATAATTATGTATAGGGTGGATGCACCACTAAACGAACACGTACCAATGAATGAGCATTATGCACTTAAAACACGTAAATTAAGTTATTAAACTAAGCAAATGATTACATCGGTATTTTTTCTTCTTAATTTGATTATTAAACATTTCTTCAATTTCCCAAATTGAAATCTATACGTTACAAAAAGGTACAGATATTAAAAAACTCAATTTTTGTGTGCCAAATATTCATTTACAGTATTATTTAAAATTCGACTTTAATAATTGAAAAATCTCTTAAGTGTTTATTCATTGGTGTATTTACCCTACATAATGAATGGGTAATTAGTAATTACTATTGCACAAGCTTAAGAAAACAATATTGTAGAAAAAAGTCAACTTGCAAAATGGTCAAAATTTGATTTGCAAAAAGTTGAATTTGTAGTGCGAACACTGTACATACCTCTAGTAACACGTAACCACTAACCCGTCACTAACAGATGTAAACGAGTGCGAAGATGGCGGCAGCTCACTGTGCGGCACCGACGCCGATTGCGTGAACACGGAGGGTAGTTTCGAGTGCAGATGCCGGCCCGGCTATCAGATGGACCCGGACCGCCAGGGTTGCGTCGACGTGAACGAGTGCGTTGGTCAGCAGACGGACGCATGTGCGGCGAACGCAAGATGCATCAACGTCCCCGGATCGTACAAGTGCATCTGCCCGCAGGGTTTCATCGGTCAAGGACTAACGTTATGCGAAAGTCAGTCTCGCTCCACCCCCCTTATGCTCAGTAACACTTCCTTGGTTAATACGCCCTTGGTGTATTAGAATCATTAATAAATTACTCACCGTGCGATTAACCGTGTTGATTAACAGACGTGAACGAATGCGAGCGAAACCCTTGCGGCGAGAACGCCGAGTGCACCGACACGATCGGCAGCTTCGTGTGCAGCTGCAAGCAGGACTACACCGGTGATCCGTTTAAGGGATGCAGCGGTTAGCTACACTCGGATCTTTCATATTCACCCTTTCTCTCTTTTTGTCTCTCTTCACCCCTGTAATTTTTTAAGTATTTCCTAACAGGGTGCTAGAAAGTGGACTCTTACGATATAGCCATGACCGGGGCTGTCGGAGAGTAAGATTCTCGGAGAAACAGTTCAACAAATGTTCCGCCGTCGTAGCCCGACTTCGTGCGCGTGAAAGTACGTGTGCAGGGGAAGTGCCCTCGCGTGGCAATATCGTAAGAGTCCACTGTATACGAAATTAACCGGTAACGTATGGTTGGGGCTCATAAGTTGACGGCGAATCAAATTCGCTGGTGACGAGAAGAGCGAACGGGACACACGGGATCAAATGAGATACAGCGGTAACAGATTAGTCACATGGTAATGACGTACTAATGACGTAGCGTCTTGCAGTGCTAACCATTGGCCGGCGAGATCCACTCTTATACAATGTTTTTTGGTGTCGAGAATTATTAATCGTAAAAATATTAATAGAGTATTCGATTGGTTATGCGGGTAAAGTTGTTCAGTAGGTATACACAGGGTGTTGAATGTGGGCACACTTTCACTGGGTGGTTTCTAGAAAATCACGACTTTTTGTCAGAATTCAGAAAAAAAGATTCAAGTCCGTCTGAACGGTAAATCTTAATTTGTCGTGTAGAACCGCTCCTGTGAAAGAATGTCACACATTTTCATTAACATCCATGTATTCTTTCGGTAATATCAATTTTTATGATACCGATCAGATATCGATGAATGCACGGCGTTGGAGAATCCTTGCGGAAAGTATGCGATCTGCAAGAACGCGGATCCCGGTTACACCTGCGTCTGTCCATCGGGGTACAGTGCCAACCCCAGTCCGACAGTCGCTTGTGAACAGGTAAAAAAAAATCATATAATATTTCCATTGCACTTCGAGTCTTTGGTATTCGAAGGACTAATTCTTTCGTTTCCGATACAATCCTCGTAGACCGACGTGACCACTCTCTGCAAATCGAACTTTGACTGCGTGAACAACGCCGAGTGCATCGAGGGCCAATGCTTCTGCAAGAACGGCTTCAAGGCCGTGGGTGCTGAATGCGTGGATCTCGACGAGTGTCTCTCGAATCCCTGCGGGCCTTCGTCAATTTGCTCGAACACAAGGGGAAGCTACCAATGCGAGTGTGAGTCGGGTTTCGTTGGAACGCCGCCGCATATACCCTGCAAAGGTAAATCAATGCGAATTAATCTCACTGTTTACAATCGCTGTTTGCTAGACGTTGAAGTACATCAAGAATAACTTCGTTTTTATTTAATAGCGCCTTGCGACGAGGTGACCTGTGGGGACCACGCGTACTGCAAGGCCGACGGCCACGAGGCATATTGTATCTGCGAAGACGGCTGGACCTTCAATCCGAACGATATCGCGGCTGGATGTGTTGGTAAGCGAGTTGAAGAAAAATAACCTTTTGTTTTTGCGAGGACAATTCGAGAGCTGCTTCTATGATATTAGATATAAACGAGTGCGACGCGGTGAACGGACCATCGGGACGCTGTGGGAAGAATGCGATCTGTACCAACACTTTAGGAGGCTTTGGCTGTCAGTGCAAGCCGGGATATTCCGGGAACGCCTTCAAGCAGTGCATGGGTAACATACTCGCGTGTAGCTTTTTAAATTTGAAGGGTTCTACTGTTCCTAAAACATCCTTTTTGATTAAATTTGTAGACCTAGACGAGTGCACGAGACACGACGCACGGTGCCACATGCTTGAACGCGGAAGGTTCATATACGTGTGTCTGTCCCGAGGGGACTATACCGGATCCCGATCCTTATATCAAGTGCGTGGGCATAGTCACCTGCGACGTTGACGGTGACTGTCCCGGGAACGCCATTTGCGATCCACAAAAAAGGTGTCTCTGTCCCGAGCCGAACGTTGGAAACGATTGTAGACGTGAGTATTCTTTCTAGCTTTTTAAGATTCTGAGATTACACAAAACTCTACACTCGGTTAAAAGAATTTCTGGAAATACAACGATTTACTTTTTTCATTTTTCGAATTCTAGATCCATGCGAGGATCTGTCTTGCGGGCCGAATGCTCACTGCATGCTCTCGAACGATGTCGCGACCTGTCTCTGTCGCAACGGCTACACAGGAAAGCCTGGCGTGAAGGGTGGCTGCCGGGACATCGACGAGTGCGCGATCAATCCGTGCCCGCAGGGTGCGATTTGTAACAACGAGCCTGGCTCTTTCTCGTGTCAGTGCCCGAGCGGTACCACCGGCGATCCGTACAGCGGTGGCTGCCAGGAATCGAAAGCTCCACACGTGTGCGGGCCGAGCACACCCTGTCCAGCCGGGGAACAATGCATCAAGGATGAATTCGTGGGCAGCAGCGTGTGCATTTGCCAACGGGGATACACACGGGATCACGAGACCGGCAAATGCAGGGACATCAACGAGTGTATGGAGCTCAGGGAGAAGCCCGCTTGCGGCGTCAACGCGATTTGTAAGAATCTACCGGGTAGCTACGAGTGCCAGTGTCCGCCTGGATTCAATGGGAATCCGTTCTCCCTTTGCGAAGGTAAACAGTTTACGAAGTTATAGAAATGAATCGTGAAAAGGAAATACCTAGTGAAAATTGATTAGACTTATTCGTGATTCCTATGTTATTGCAGAATGTAACAGTATCGAGTGCCAGTGTCAACCACCGTACAAGATCGTGAACGGGAAATGCATGTTGGCTGGATGTTCCAAGGGCGAGAAATGTCCAAGCGGTGCTGAATGCATCACAATCGCCGGTGGAGTCAGCTATTGTGCTTGTCCCAAGGGCTACACCACCAAAGCCGATGGTTCTTGCGAAGGTTCGTATTTGAACGTTTGCTTCGATCGTATTACGGGTATTCTCATTTATATATCAATTGACCGGACATCATTTACACAGACATCAACGAGTGCATCGTTGGCCATCAAGTTTGCGGCTACGGAGCGGAATGCATTAATCAGCCAGGCTCCCATCAATGTGCCTGTCCGCACGGATACGGTGGTGACCCGTACAACGGTCTCTGTTCACCTGCCCAGAAGAGATGCACCAGCGACAACGAGTGCAAAGCGAACGAGAAATGCGTGCAACCAGGCGAATGCGTCTGTCCGCCGCCGTTTTACACCGATGCTCTCGATGGAAACCTCTGCAAGAGTGAGAATTCATTACATTTTACAAACCATTGTTGTAGACTGATCCGATTACTATTTCAGTCGAGTTGTTCTCCTGTTATCGTAGATCCTTGCGATCGGTTCCCGTGCGGTATCAATGCTAAATGCACACCGAGCGACCCACCGAGGTGCATGTGCGAGGCTGGCTACGAAGGCGATCCTCAGCATGGTTGCGTGGACGTGAACGAATGCGCGAACAACCCCTGTGGACACGGTGCCTACTGTCTCAACACGAAGGGCGATCATATCTGCGAGTGTCCAAAAGGAACGGTCGGCGATCCGTACGGAGGTGGCTGCACGGGGGTTGCCGTCGTGAAAAACGAGTGTTCCTCGAGCGACGACTGCGACAATATTTTCGCCTGCGTGAACGGCGGATGCGTGAATCCCTGTGAGAACATACCCTGTGGACCGAACGCGTACTGCGAGCCCGATAAGCACGCCGCTTGGTGTCGATGCGTGATAGGGTTCGTCGAAGGCAAAAACAACGAATGCGTTTCTCGTGAGTACTTGAATCACGTTTAAGAGTATCCGAATAATTTTCTTATCGTGAGGAAATATTAAAAGATTAATTGTCTAAAAATTAATTCATAGAATGCGATGGGTTCGTCTGTGGCTCTGGAGCGCAGTGCATCGTGAGTTACAGCGGACCAACTTGCAAGTGCATAGAGGGATTCATGGGTAATCCGTTCCCCGGTGGGCAGTGTCTACCGGATATTTGTTCTCCGGAAGTTCCGTGCGCGGAGCCAAGCGTGTGCATAAGCGGAAGATGCAAACGTCGGTGCGAAGGCATAGTTTGTGGTGTAGGAGCCTCTTGTGATCCGGCGACCAACAAATGCGTTTGTAATCCTTACTTCATCGGTAACCCGGATCTGCTTTGCATGCCACGTAAGTTGCACAGTGTCTTGATAATTACAATGAAGCTGTATTTTATAGAATTATACATATACAAGTCAACAATCATTTCTGGTAACTGTTTAGCTATTCAACCTGCTGTCTGCGATCCCGATTGCGGTTCGAACGCCCACTGCGAGTATGGTTTCCAAGATTCGAAGTGCGTCTGCAATCCAGGGACCACTGGGAACCCCTATCATGGTTGTGGAGTGCAAGACAAATCCGACTGTTCCATTGCATTGTGCGGTAAAGATGCGCACTGCAACGCTGGACCAAACGCCGTCGATTGTCTCTGTCCTCCTGGATATGCGGGGAATCCGTATATTCAATGTTTCGGTTCGTATACACGTTGTCCCGTCGTTGTATGAAAAATGTGTCATGATAGTTTTTATACATAATTTTCATCCATTCCGATATAGACATCAACGAGTGCAACGGGAACGCGTGTGGCGGTAACGCGGTCTGCATCAACACGATTGGCAGCTACGACTGTCGCTGCAAAGACGGTTTCTTCGGTAACCCGTTCGTCGGTTGTCAACAGGTCCAAGTCGGCCCGTGCAACGATCCAGCGACGTGCACTTGCAGCGAGACGGTTCCGTGTCCTTTCGACTACACCTGCGTGCACGGCAAATGCATAAATCGATGCAGCGATGTTAAATGCGGTCCTCGATCGGTCTGCCAGGATGGAGCTTGTGTGTGTCCACCTGGTTACAGCGGGAACCCGAACGATCTTAGCAAAGGTTGTCATTTGCACGGTCATTGCTCGAACGATTTGGACTGCGAGCCCCAACAGATCTGTTTCCAAGTTGGCAAAGGTGTACGGAAATGCGTGGACGCTTGCAGCAAGCTGCAGTGCGGCCCGAACGCGTTGTGCGTGACGCAACATCACGTGTCCTCTTGTCTGTGTATCGACGGGTACCAAGGGAACCCTAGCAATCTGATAGAAGGTTGCCAGCCATCGAAAACAGCGGTTACACCTGATTGTACTCGGGATTCCGATTGTCAGGAAGGCTCGTTCTGCGTCGTCCTCGATAACGGCGCTCGTGATTGCGTGAATCCGTGCAGCAGAGTGGTCTGCGGTGCACATCAGAAATGCGAACCGGATATAATTCCTGGTCACGCGACTTGCAAGTGTCAGGATGGTTACGAGTGGAATCCAATATTGTCCTCTTGCGAGAAACCGTCGGTGCCCGATTGTATATCGGACGATGACTGCCACGCCACCGAGGCTTGTAGACCCGACCCCCTGGGTGTCTTGAAGTGTATCTCCGTTTGTCGTAGTTTCACGTGCGCCGTAAATTCTCAGTGCGTGGCCGAACGACACCGTGGTCGTTGCAAGTGTCTGCCTGGTTTCATTGGCAATCCGAACGATCGTCAAGGATGCCAGACACCCAAGAAGGATCGTTGCTCGACAGACAGCGAGTGCCCGGAGGACCAGACCTGCAGAAGCACGGATCAAGGTCTCCTCACCTGCCAACCGGTTTGTAACTTTGTTTCTTGTGGGCCGAATGCTTTGTGCGTTGTTCAAAATCACGTCGCCAATTGCGAGTGCCCGCCTGGACTTTACGCCGGTGATCCTAACGATATGGTAAAAGGATGTCGTACCGTTCCTTGCGTCTACAATATCGACTGTCCTCCCACTCAACTTTGCAATCGGTTGACTCACACCTGTTACGACGCCTGTGACGAGAATGCTTGCGGTGTGAACGCTGTATGCATCGCGGATGATCATCGCGCGATCTGTCAGTGTCCTCCGGGTCTTCGTCCGAATCCAGTTCCGGACGTGGAGTGCGTCGCTCTCGAGGCTTGTCATCCGAATCCTTGCCACGATTCGGCGGTTTGCGTACCGGGATCCACGAGCAATCCTGTTTGTCAGTGTCCGCCTAATTTCGTTGGGGATCCATACGTCAAAGGATGCCAACCGGAAGGCTACTGCGCCAGCGTTAAGGATTGTCCGGTTCATTCCATCTGCCATAATCATCGTTGCGTGAATCCTTGCGAGGATGCATGCGGATCGAATTCCATTTGCGAGGTGATCAATGGACAACCGACTTGCAAGTGCATTCACAACTTCGTCCCGTCCACGAAAGGCCCTCAGGATGGATGCATCAGGGCTACGAGCTATTGTGTCGTTGACGCTGATTGCGACGGAAGCGTATGTCTCGAGGGACAGTGTATAGGTAAGACTGATTTCAATGTGATTAACTTTTCTGTGCATCAAAGTTTTGTCGGAGCTTCATATTTTACTGGTTTGATCATAACAATGTAATCGTGAACATGATAACTTTGACCTTGATGCAGTATGTATTCTAGAGATTAGTAACATGCGTGAATATTTTTCTCCTTCTTTCTATTACAACGAATATTTTATTGCAGCTGTGTGCAGAGCGGCTACGGATTGTTCGTCTGGAGAGAAGTGTGTGAACAGCAAGTGTGTGATTCCTTGTGTATCTCACAGTCAATGTCAATTGGATCAGGCTTGTGTGAACGGGGGATGCATTCTGGGATGTCGTAGTAATAAGAATTGTCCTACTACGCAATCTTGCATCAACAATAAGTGCCAAGGTATCCTTTCAAAAGCACAGAAAAGATGTATATATGTATTTTCAAGTTACCCAGAGGACTACATGATACATGTTTCTTCGTTCAGATCCATGTGGTAGCAAAGACGTGTGCGGGCCAAACGCAATCTGTAGCTGTACCAATCATGCCACAACTTGTACTTGTCCATTGGGATTCCATGGAAATCCTACGCCGCAACAGGGCTGTGTTAGGGTACCGAGTATCTGCGAGGCTGCCCAAGACTGTCCGAGTCAACATGTCTGTGTTTCCGGATTCTGTCAGTGTCAGTGCAGCGAACAGAACAACTGTGCACAGGGAGAACGTTGCAAGAATGGCATCTGTGTCAAGATATGCTACAGCGACAGCAATTGCTTGCCGGGTGAATTGTGCATCGATGGAGTCTGCGAAGTGGGTTGCACTTCTGATGCTGGCTGCAAGGACAATGAAGTCTGCATTAATAATAAGTGCAGGTAATAATTCAAGTATATTGAATCCAATTATGCCGTGCAACAATTATCAATGTTCAGAGATTGGTGTATTACATATTTCTTGTTGTTGTCTTCAGATGTAGTCATGGATTCGTCGCAGGACCTGAACACTGCCTGGACCTCAATGAATGCGACGACAATCCTTGTCACGATAGCGCCGAATGCGTCAATCTTCATGGATCCTATCGCTGCATCTGTCCACAAGGCACAGCGGGTGATCCTGTTGGGTCTGGTTGCGTGATACCGCATCAATGCAACATAAACGCGGACTGCGCCGATTCGCAAGCCTGTATTCATCACAATTGTACCGATCCTTGTTCTTTGGGCAATTGTGGATCGAACACTGTCTGTACCGTTGTGGATCATACGGCTGCCTGCCAATGTCAACCTGGCTATATCGGTGATGCCTCTGGATGCTTCAGAGTCGAATGTCTTTCCAATAACGATTGTCCCACAGATAAATACTGCAATCAGGACATCAACAAGTGTAGCAGTAAGTGATAACATCGTTGAATTTACGCTATTGTATATATATATATATATATATATATATATATATATATATATATATATAGGTATATGCGAATGGATTCTATTTTTAAATTATATAGGTCCTTGCAACCAAATGAACTGTGGATATGGCAATTGTCTAGCTGAAAACCATGCTGGTGTTTGCAAATGTTACCCTGGATTTGTCCTCGCCGGTGACATTTGTATCGATGTCAACGAGTGTTTAGAGAATCCTTGTCACTCCACAGCAGTGTAAGTGAAGTTGATCGGATTCGTGTAACATTCACCTAACGACGAATAGTGTCATAGCGTCTTTTACTTTTTCAGTTGTCAGAATACAGAAGGTTCGTACGTTTGCGTTTGTCCTCACGGATTGGTGGGAGATCCTTTCAAGTCCGGCTGCAAACAACCCGGAGACTGTTTCACGGACTTCGATTGTCCAATGTCTGCAGCCTGTATCGACAACAGGTGTACGAATCCTTGCGATGTATCGCACATTTGCGGTCGAAATGCAGAGTGCTTCGTGGAGGATCATGCGCCTCATTGCAGGTGTCCTGGTCAGACTACTGGAAATCCGTCCGTATGTGTCGAATTTTCGGCACCAAATCGAAATTACACCATAACAAGCTGTATTAATAACCATTTCTTTCGATTTCAGTCTGAATGTGTTCACTTGGAGTGTAACTACCATAGCGACTGCGGTCCATCCGACGCGTGTTTCAATCACAAATGCGTCGATCCTTGTTCTTTATCGAACGTCTGTGGCCAAGGAGCTGATTGTTCTCCGTTGAATCACAGCGCAGTGTGCACGTGTCAACCTGGCGGTACTGGTGATCCAAATCTTGGATGTACACCTGTCCAGTACTGTAAATCTGATTCTCAATGTGCAACCGGATCAGCCTGCAACGGTGGAATATGCACAGGTCAGTGGATACTCGAAAGAATTGTAGTAGCTACTACTTTTAGCGAATGTATTACGAGTTCGTGAATATTTTTTCAGCACTCTGTGGTAGCACGAGAGATTGTATCGGCGATCAACTGTGTATCAACGGCCTCTGTCAACCTACATGCAAGAGCAACTCCAGCTGTCCCGAGTTCCAGTACTGTCACAATAATATCTGTGTCCAGGAGCTGCGGTGTATATCCGACGACGATTGTTCTTACGACGAACGGTGCATCAAGAATAACATCGGACAAGCGGAATGTCAAAAGTCTTGTGATTTGGTACTCTGCGGACGGAACGCTGAATGCCGTGCGGATAACCATAGAGCCGTGTGCTCTTGCGAGGGTGGATTCTTTGGGAATCCCAAGGACGATAAAATTGGTTGCCAGCCGATCGAGTGCGAGATCAATGCCGACTGCAGCGAGGAGAAGATCTGTGACACGCACAAATGCAGGATCGCCTGTCTGGCCCACAATCCTTGTGGCGTTAATGCTATTTGTACCGCGGAGAGGCATGTTCAGGTAACGATTTATCCAATGATTTGTTAAATATTCGGAATGTCTTTGTTTCATATTAGACATATTTCGTAACGACATTCTTGTCCGTCAGGTGTGCACTTGTCAGCCAGGATACACCGGAGAACCATCTCAAGGATGCCAGCTAATCGATTACTGCCTGAACGAACCTTGCGCCCCAGGATCTGTTTGCGAGAATTCCAGAGGTTCGTACAAATGTCATTGTCAGCAAGGAATGGTTGGAGATCCCTACAATGGCGGATGTCAACCACCGGTCGAATGTATTCAAGACCACGACTGTCCGCTCAGTGCTAAGTGCATAAGCGTCAACAACGTGCCAAAATGTTTCGGTATGCATCGAAAATCTGAACGAATTCCTGGATGAACGTAAACCATCTAACGATCACGATCTTTCGTTGTTTCAGATGTATGCTCGCGAACCCAATGCGGAACAAACGCGGACTGCGTCGCTGTCAATCACGCGGCGAGATGTGAGTGTCGGTCCGATTATGAAGGCGATCCAAACAATCTAAGTGTAGGCTGTCGACCAAAACCGGTCGTTTGTTCATCAGCCGCGGTGTGCTCGCCGAACACCTACTGCTACGAGGGAATCTGTAGACGTGAGTCGTTTTTCTCAAATAATCAAAAACCAGTGCTCGAGTCTCTCTATTCAACCGTGAAATTACACAATTTGAAATTCCTCCAGCGTCCTGCCAATCGGACGAGGAATGCAATCTGTCGGACGTGTGTCTAAACGGACAATGCTTGGATCCCTGTAACATCCGAGCCGCTTGCGGAATAAATGCCGAGTGCAACGTGAGAAGCCATATTAAACAGTGCAGTTGCCCACCTGGGTTCACTGGTAACTCGGAAGTGGAGTGTGTGAGGCGTATGTGTAAAAATTATATATTTAGAATTATTCGTAACACATTCATGCAATTTTGCGTTCCATAGATTTCTCATTATTCTTCCGAGTTTTACTACGATCATCATTCTTCCAGTGCCAGTGTCCTGCAGAGACAGCAACGACTGCAACGAGGGCAACACCTGCCGCGACAACGTATGCTTGCCGATATGCGTGACCGACAACGAGTGCGCGTTCAACGAGAAATGCGTACGCGGAAATTGCTTGCTCACCTGCAGACTGGACAACGACTGTTTCCTCGGTCACATATGCCTGCACAACATGTGCACGTTCGGTTGTCGGGCGGACGAGGACTGCAACGCGAATCAGGCCTGCATCACAAACAAGTGCATCGATCCGTGCGAGGCGACTCCGTGCGGACCGAACGCGAAATGTACCGTGTTCAATCAACGCGCCACTTGCTCGTGTCCCGGGGGATTCATACCGAATCCAACCGCGAAGGTTGCGTGTTTGAGATCACCGGGAACCGTATGCCAGGCGAACAGGGATTGTGCGACTGGAACGACTTGCATGGGAGGCACCTGCACACCTGTATGCTCCACGGACTTGAATTGCTTGAGTAACGAACGTTGCGATCAATCAGGTGTCTGCAAATCGTTATGCAGACGGGACGAAGATTGCAGGAGCGGAGAAATCTGCGAAGGACTGGTCTGCGCTGTCGGATGCCGCGCGAACGTCGAATGCCAGGAGAATTACGCTTGTATCAATAACCAATGTCAAGGTAAGAAGCTTCGAGATTGTGGTGAGCAGCCTTTAGCCAGGTTGCGTCGCCTTTAGAATAAATACATTGTTCCTGGAGGATCTGGCCCACTGAGTGGGGAAGGCAAAGATTGGTGGACCGTATACGGCACTTAGTCCAGAAGCCCAGAAGAGCGTAGTTCTTAACAAACATCAAAAACGTCTAACCAATATTTCTGACGGGTATTTGATGTAATCGCTATTTTCGTTCTTCTAGATCCATGCTCTGTTCCCGACGCTTGCGGAGTGAACGCCAAGTGCTCGGTGGTGAATCATAAAAAATTATGCGCCTGTCCAGCCCCATTAGGCGGAGATCCGCTAATTGGATGCAAACAGGCGTTCCTGCCATGCTCGACGGAACTGGACTGTCCGACCGGTCAGAATTGTTACGGCCGATCCTGTTACGCCACGTGTAGGAGGTAAGACGATGAACGATAACGAACCACACAACGATGTTTGGATTCCTCGTGTGGACGTTTTCATGGCGCGTAAATTGGATTTGCAGCGACGCTAATTGTCTGAGCGACGAACGATGCGACGCAGGGATTTGCAAGGCTATCTGCAACAGCGACGATCATTGCGTGGCTAATCAGATCTGTCAGAACCGATTGTGCGATATCGGTTGCCGTAGCGATAACACCTGTCCGAACGATGAATCTTGCGTGAACAATAAATGCAGAAGTATGTCGATCGTACACTTCCAGCTGATAAGTATTCGAGGAAGAGTCAATTTCTCGCTATTTCGAAATGTGTTAACCTTTATTCTTTCAGATCCTTGCGAGGGTGGCAAAGCTTGCGGAGAATGTGCAGGCTGTCGCGTGGTCAACCACGTTGCACAATGTAGCTGCCCAGCTAATTATTACGGCGACGCGTTGAGCACCTGCGTAAAGTCTATGATTCCCTGCGATGGCTCCTGCGAATGCGACGAAATCGGTTTCTGTACGAAGAGCTGTTACAATCAAGATCAGTGTTCCTGCGGAGAGGTTTGCCACACCGGAAATTGTCGCGTTAAGTGTGACATCAACAATACATGTCCAAAGGTAATACCACGGATGAAGTTAGAGAGGAAGGAATGTGGTTCTTGAATGGTCTCTTTGCGATTTTAGGGCTACATTTGCGACGGAGGATTATGCCTGATCGGTTGTCGTACCCACTCCGATTGTCCATCGGCCTTGTCTTGCATAAATACACAATGCGAGGATCCATGCTCCGTCAATGGCTCTCCGTGTGGTATTAATGCGCTGTGTCGCGTGTCGAACCACCGCGCGGTGTGTCTTTGTCCGGAGGGTTTCCAGGGTGAACCGAGTCAAGAATGCTACCAGCTGGAGTGCCATAGGGACGACGACTGCGAGGCGAACAAACGTTGCAGCGAGGATGGCGTTTGCACGAATCCGTGTCTGCAACACGGTGTCTGTGGCTTCAACGCGCAATGCAGGGTAGTGAACAGGAAGGCTCAATGTTCTTGTCCACCTGGTCATTATGGAAATCCGAAGATCAACTGCAAGAAAGGTACTTCTTTTCCAATTCTGTCGCATCGAAGTGTCGATACTTTTCTACAATATGGATTTCTTTGGAATCGATCGTTCAGGCGGTGATCAGTGCCTGAGAAGACCTTGCGGCGTGAACGCAAAGTGCAGAGAGACCCTGAACGGTTTCGAGTGCACTTGCGATCCGGGATGTCAAGGGGACCCGCATCAGGCGTGCATCTGCGACGGAGGAGAGCTCTGCAGGGACACTCGTTGCGGGTTGAACGCCGCCTGCCGGATCTACAAGAACCAACCGCAATGTTACTGTCCACCGAACTTCCCGTTCGGCGATCCTATGCATGGTTGTAAGTAACATAACAATGATATTTACCGTGTGTATTATTTTTTTGCTGTAATTCCGTTACGGTGCAACGCATCCGTATTATATGTATATATTTATATTCACAGGTAGCATAGACAAGAGTCTAGGTGATTGTCGCACGAACGGCTGCGGAAAGGGCGCGGAATGCATAAGGGACGCGACGATATTCGTCTGTCGGTGTCCACCTGGAACGAGCGGTTCCCCGGATATCGAGTGCACGACAGGTAAGAGACGGCCTACTAACTGTTTAACCGGGCAGATCGATTAATTTAAATGTACAGCATTTGTGACTAGCGAGCAATACTGACGATTCGGATGGAACCCCATGGTTCAGTAGAATAACCATGTATCGTCTTGAACGTAGGACTTGAAAGTAATACATAGATTGTATTTAATCCAGTGAACTCGTTAACATAATCGAGAGACAGATGTGATTGGACCACGGTTAACGGATATTGTTACTTTTTTTTTTCACACGTATACGTACAACGCGACATACATATAATGTATACGTACGAACACTGGATTTACCCGACAACGGTCTTACATATTTTACCTGTACATATATAATCTACATCGTTAGGCATACTGTACATAATTGTGTCCGGAAGATGAAACACGTTTTTCACACATGTCTCACACATAACTATTCATATGTAGAATGTTTATTTCAGTATCCAATCTGTCTTGAGGAAACCATAGAAATTGCGAGAAAAAAAAAAACGAATGCCGCAGACAAATAGAGAACAAAAAAGACGAAAAAAAAAGACTCGTAATTTAGTAGACGGGCATTTCGATTGCAACGCAAAAAGGTACACATTTTACAGTGAACACAGCTGCCGATGATCCGTTTTTCTTAGATTCTAGGATTAAAACGATTAATACAGATTGGGAACTGCGAAAGGGACATTCTCATATACCCATGCTTGTTATTTTGCTGGATTTTATTCCCTGTTATATTATATTTTTTCCTCTGTATTTTCTGAGATCTGTGGGGGCTTGTGTTGTAAATATCGCTGCTTGCCAATTACGTGTATACATATACATACAGACACATATATGTATGTACCACACACACAATATGTGTGTATATATATATATGTATATTATCTCTCGGAAGTTGACGAGAGGATCGTGTTTTCTTGTGTTCAGTCTAAATAGAGCGTTTTGAAGTTCGTTCTCTATATATTTTTTTTTTACTTCTTCACAGAGCTACCCTACCGTTTCCGTATTTTATAAATACAATGAAAGCATGTGGTTTATGTTATTTGTGAGAAAGTTTCTTTTCACAGTTCTTATAAATGCTTTTTTCTTTTTTTTTCTTGTCCCACCACCACCACC